GCGCCTCGAACAACAAAACCCACCTCTGTTTTTCTCCATTGGAGTTGAAAAAATGAAGCCCCCGAAGATGATTGTGTTACTGTTATGTTGCCTTGGTGTTTTCATGGCTGCGAATTCTGATCTGGCTTCCGACAGAGATGCCTTGCTGGCGCTCAGAACCGCCGTGGGAGGCCGTACAATGGGCTGGAACGTGACGGAGACCAACCCCTGTTCGTGGCTCGGCGTCAAATGCGAGTCGGACCGGGTCACCGAGTTGCGGCTTCCTGGTTGGGCATTAGTTGGGCAGCTTCCTTTGGGTCTCGGAAACTTAACCCAGCTTTTGACCCTCTCTCTGCGCGTAAACGCGCTCTCCGGTCCACTACCGAACGACCTTGTCAACCTAGTCAACCTCAAGAATCTCTACTTGCAAGGTAACTCGTTTTCCGGTCCAATTCCTGAGTTTTTGTTCAAATTGAAAAGCCTTATGAGATTGAACCTTGAGAAAAATAAATTCTCCGGCGAAATCTCGTCGGCGTTTAATAATTTGACGAGTTTGGTAAGTCTGCATTTGGAGGTGAATCAGCTTACTGGGTCAATTCCTGAGCTGGGTTTGCCATCTCTTGGACAATTCAACGTTTCCTTTAACCAGTTGAACGGGTCGGTTCCTTCGAAGCTTTCGGGTTGGCCTGAAAACGCGTTCAAGGGGAATTTGCTTTGTGGGAAGCCGTTGAAGGCCTGCAATGGGACTGAGAATGCTGGGAAGAAGAATAAGTTGGCTGGTGGGGCAATTGCAGGGATTGTGATTGGTAGTATTATTGGGTTCTTGGTGATAGTTGCCATTGTGATATATTTGTGCCGAAGAAAGAAAAATGGGGAAAAAGGTACAAACTTTGCTGTGCCGGGGAAGCCTCAGGAGGCTGAAACCTCCCGTGGAAAGGTGGTGCTGGATAGGAGTTCGAGTACTGATTATTCATCTGCATCAAAAGGGAGTGTGAAGAGTGGTGGTGGGAATAAGAGTTTAGTGTTCTTCGGGCATGTGGTGAAGGTGTTTGATTTGGAGGATTTATTGAGGGCATCCGCTGAGGTACTTGGAAAGGGGACATTTGGAACTACGTACAAGGCAACTCTGGAAATGGGGGTGTCAGTGGCAGTGAAGAGGTTGAAGGAAGTGGCTGTATCAGAGAAGGAATTCAGGGAGAAGATTGAAGAGATTGGGAGAATGGATCATTCAAATTTGGTCCCACTCAGGGCTTACTACTACAGCAGGGATGAGAAGCTTTTTGTGTATGATTACATGCCTATGGGAAGCTTATCTGCTCTGTTGCACGGTGAGCATTTCATGCAGGGGTTTCATTCGTTGCATTATATAATGCAGCTATTGTTTGAGTTGGTGTTTTCGCGTTTCTTTTTCTTGAAATGGTTTTCTGTTGGTATATTATGTTTATTGCTTTTTTTCTTGACTGTGTTTCTCCATTGGATGGTTGTTTTGGTACATTTTCTACGTCAACTGCATCGTCTTTTTGTTGCCCCAAACATGCATGTCTAAAATGAACCCTTCAATTAGTAATTAGACTAGTGTTGTGGAAGCCTTTTGTTTGTCACGGCTTGCTATACATTTATATACCAAACAGACAAATCAATACCTATTTAAAAGACAAGGAATAAATAATGAAATCATACTGAATCCCGTCCGAGAACAACTAGGATTGTGACCCATCGCAGCTATTTCTGTTACATCAAAGAAGCAAAATGCGAGTTCCTAAGAAAGTATTTCGCAATATAGGCATAGGAAGGCTGTTGTTATTTGATTACTGGTCTCTTGTATTGGCTAGGAGAGTGGCATTTGGTCCAAATGCTAGCAGCACTTGCATAGACCAGGTGCAAAAATGCTGTAAGCTTCTGAGCTTTGGCGTCTCTGACTATGTCTGTATCTTTTATTTTTGAATTCAGTATTCGTTCACAATAAATCACATTGAATGAGTAAATGATTAAGTTTTTATTTGTTCTCTTTCTTAACCATCTTTCTGTTAACAGTTCATTTCTTTATCTTTTCACTGCAGGAACCAGAGGTTCCGGAAGGACTCCATTGAATTGGGAAACAAGGTCTGGTATTGCTGTAGGAGTTGCTCGTGCAATTACATACATACATTCTCATGGTCCCACTACCTCCCATGGAAACATTAAATCTTCAAACATCCTTCTCACTAGATCCTATGAAGCCTGTGTTTCTGATTTTTGCCTTGCTCATCTTGCAAGCCCAACATCTACTCCGAACCGCATTTCTGGTTATCGTGCCCCAGAACTCACAGATACTAGCAAAGTAACCCAAAAGGCAGATGTTTATAGTTTTGGCGTATTGCTTTTGGAGATACTTACAGGAAAGCCTCCAACCCAAACTATCATGAACGAGGAAGGAGTAGACCTTCCAAGATGGGTTCACTCAGTGGTTCGAGAGGAGTGGACTGCTGAGGTGTTTGACTTCGAGCTTCTCAGGTACCAGAATGTTGAGGAGGAGATGGTTCAGCTTTTACAGATTGCACTCGAATGTACAGTTCAGTATCCTGATAGCCGCCCTTCAATGGGTGAGGTGACTAGCCGAATCGAGGACCTTTACAGTTCTAGTTTAAAGCACGAACAAGATGCGAATCCTGATATCTCATGATGTGGACGATGGCTTTCTCAGCAGTATTTATCAACTGACACGCGCATACCACCGTGAGTAATGAACAAAGATCAGCATTCTTTTCTGCATTGCTCTTCTGGTCAGGCATAATTTGTTTATTCTTGAGTTTATTTTGAGCAAAAATTATAGCCGGGATCATGTCTCTTTCTCTTTATCGTTTTCACCTTCATATTTATTTGGAGGTGGATTGTCTGCCCTCCCATTTCCATACTCTTCTCATCCTCTCTTGTTTGTATGGTCACGGTTAAGCCACATCAATATTTTATATTGATTTTTTTTTATAAAAATAATAAAACAAAAATTAATAGGAATATAAATTGTTGACGTGGCTTAACCGTGATCACACAAAACAAGAAGGGATGAGAAGAGTATGGAAATGAGAGGGTAGACAATCCACCTCCTATTTATTTTATCAGTAGCACTCTTCTTTACCCCCTGTATATTATTGTTTATGCTGTATGTGGAGGGGGATATCTGTAATACTGTTATTTGCGAATCTGAGTTTGCCTTGTAGTGTTGTGCTCTCACCACTTCTGTTCCTCTTAGCTTTGAGCTCGATGCAAATTTTATTGACTGAAAAATGCTTCATTTGCTTTCTAAAGTTGTGTATTTGCCTTTATTTGTCTTTAATTTCAGCTAAATCAAGCACTCTCTCTTTGCTTGGAGAATAATCTTATTAGATGGTTTTGAGTACTTTGGTGATTTGAGGGTTCTCTTCTTCTCTGGGATCCTATTGTTGTGTTAGTCCACGCGATGAGCGAAATATGGTGATAGCCAAATTGGGATGTGGAATTTTCTGACATGGGTAAATTAAACTAGAGTAAATATTCAGGCGGTTTAAAAGTAGTTATTGAGGAAATTGAAGCAATGGTCTTTTAATTTTAATTTAATTGGAACAATGGTTTCTTAATTAAAAATTTATGACCATTGATCTCTTAACTCATCAAGACTTGCAACTATGCTCATTTTCGTCAACTTTGTTACAACCTCCGTCAAAATTAGCTATGTGCCACCCACGTGAAGCTGCATCAAGGGACAAACAAGAAAAACAAAATTAGAAAACTGTAGCAATGGTCCCTCAATATTAATTCACTTGGAGCAATGATCTCTTAACTTTAACCCAGTCGGAGTAATGATCTTTCAACTTTAACCCAATCATAGTTTCGTCCTTCTAACATGACTCATTCTGATGGAATTCTGATGGGGTTAACAAAAATGACCATAGCAACACATTTTCATGAATTTTTAGTTAAGAGACCATTACTCCAATTAAGTTAAAGTTGATAGACTATTTCTACAATTTTCTCTTACAATTAGACAGCTGATGATATTGGTTTTTTAAATTTTCCTCAACTAAAAATACATCAATATATTTGCATTAACGGGTGGCAGGAAACAAATTAGTATGGAATACAACCTTCACGAAATCTTTCGAGAAGAGAATTACCTCGGATTCGGGAAGGGAGACCAATATTGACCCTGACGTCTTTGGATGACATGTAGTCTATGATGGAACATAATTTAAAGTATTTATGATGAGGATGAAGATGTAGACTATGGGCACTACCATCCCATCAGGTTACCGTACCGCCGCCTCATTCTTAACATGAAATGGGTGTTCAATGCCCATCTTTATTTATCGTGACGATGTCACATTGATAAAAAGTTTATAAGAGAGAATATAAAATTTAATAGCAAATTTTAATTTTTTTAGTTGTTTTAATTTTTTTAAATTTTTATTAAGATGCTCTTACTTGAGCCACCTCAGTTTAATTGAGTTTGATTTACATTTTCATATCTAATACATATTTATAATAATTTCAACTGTATTTAAATCTAATATTTATTTTATTTTATTTTATTCAAATCAAAACGTACCCATGCTAAACGAATGTAACTGTGAAAATTGAAAATGAAAACGTATCAACGTCAAAGGAAAACGTACCAACCCCGAATTTACCTTACTAACACAGAATTGAAACGTATCCAATCATGAAACCACATTAAAAATGAATATTTCATCTTTTTGGAATAATTTAAGAATGTGTTTGATATGTAGAAAATGCACTAGATAATATTGTTTTCTAGTAAATAAGTCTGGAACAACTTTTAATTAAATTGAAGATAAATCTTATTTTTTTTCATTATGAGGATAAATTATGTAGTTTTGAATTAACAAAAAAGCTATTGGACATTGATTAGTATAAAAATGTTAAAAAAAAAAAAAAACTTTAAGATAAATATTTAATCTAGGAAATTCAAAACTCAAGCTTCTGTATTAAATGCTGGGTGATAGAATTATGCAAAGAACCAGTTAAGAACTTGAGAGAGGGAGAAGGAGGGTAAAAAAAAAAAAAAAAAAAAAAAAAAAACAAAGAACAAAACAGGGGAACAGCGGTCGGTCATCACAAAGGGGAAGCTAAAAAGCAGACAGAGATTGATAAAAGGAAAGGGATCAGCAGTGGGCCCAAGTTTCCTCCTCTTCTCTCACCCAAAACCTCATTTGTTTTCGAAAAATGGGTTTGCTGGATTCCTTCCTCAATTGGCTCCGCAGGTAACCTCTTCTGCTTCTTCTTCTTCTTCTTCTTCTTCTTTTGTGTTCTTTGTTTCGTTAATTTGTTTGTTGAGTTTTTGGATTTGTTTGTATTGGGATGTGTGTTCTGGTTCACTGATTTCTGTGATCAACTTTGTATTTTCAAGATTTGAGGTTCAAAAAGTTGGTTAATTTGAGAACTTCATATGCTATGCCAAGTTGCTAACAATCAATAAATGGTAAAATCGAAACCCGAAAGTGATTGCTTCATTGGTGGCTTTGTTTTGGTTGAATCTGTGTGTTGCGCTGAGCTATGTTCAATTTCAGTATGCTTTCATTTCACTCTCAAATTAGGTTGCTTTTTGGCTTTGTGACTCCAATGGTTCAAGCAGAGTAGTTAAATAATGAAAATTAAGACGATTTTCTTACGGTGCAATTTGCTGCTGAAAAGATATATGGAACCAGAAAAGTTTAGGAATTTGATCTTTTTGTTCTTGTCAAAATTGCAACTTTGTGGCTGTTTTTCTGATTGAGGCTATCTTCATTGTTAAAACCATAATGGCAACACCTGCAAAGGTGAATTTCAATCTCCCGAGACTAAAATCCATGCGATTGCAAAAAGATATTATTGGTGGGAGAGATATCATGTTGATACCGTTATACTTTTCATTTTACTCCTCCCTCCCTAAATTTCCAAGGGGAAAAGAACATGGTTCAATATATGTTTGAAGTAGCTTTATTGTTACTTGAAGCTAAATAAACCCTTATTGGAGCCTTCCGCAGCGTATCTACAGAACCGAAAGACAAATTATGCTCTTTTTTAAGATAAGCAAACTATTGTCTGTGCGCCAGTATGAATTTTGAAGTTTTAATTGCATTACTGCATAAATATTGGAAACATTCAGTTATCTGTTTTAGGGAATTAAGTTGAGAGAAAAAAATTTCTTCCACTCTTTATGTTTGTCAATGGATTTTGCTCCTTTGCTTTATGAGTTAGGTACTTCATCATATGTCATTAAGTTCCACTATTACGGGTAGATTTCTGAGCTTCATGAGGTTAGACAATCACTAGCTCTAATCTGCTTCTCATTTCTTTTCATGTCCGTAATGGGATGCAAAACAATGATAGGGAACACTATTTATTCAAAACACCAAGTTTGAAAGTAAAATTATAGCAGATAAACACATGCGTTGCTTTGAGACGTGCCAGCAAGCTGTGGCATAGCATAAACGCAGGGTGCAAAGAGCAGGACCAATTTGAAAGGAATGTGGGGCAGATTGCAGTGGCATTTCAGTGTAAAGCATGCCGCTGTATGAAGGGGTCGCAGCCTCATGTGAAAGGCAAGACCATGGATGGAGGAGGAAGCAAATGATTGCGGTTGCTATGTTAGTGTGGCATGGCATGGGCAGCTGGGCAGCAGCATTCAAGCCATTGCAAGGAGGCAGTTCAGTAGCAGACAGGGCATGGGCTGGGCATGTATTGGGTGTCACCTGGGTGTGTACCATGCACAGCAATGTGCTTAGGGTTCATGGCTTGCGTTTGGAAGGCTGTAATCCTGCAAAACATGCCCTGGGTGAAGGCTACACAAGGCAACACAATGCCGTGGTGCTGGCTGCTAGCCGAGACATATGTAAGAGGTGGCTACCTTATTTCGAGGAACGATCATGTGGATGATTGTTGCAGGAAGTAACTTCCATGAGATGCTGGCCCATCTCCAACAAGGTTGGTGCCAGCAATACCCTAGCTACTGGGGATGTCAATTGCAAGCCTTCTTGTTGAATTCTAGTTGGTCCAGCTAACTCGGGCAGTTGGGGGTAGCAACTACATGAATTTCGGAGTCCTATACCCCTTAAAATCAGTCTCATATGTGTTCTTTAGGTTGCTGTTTCATTCATTCTTAACCACAGTAAGGGAGCGTTAGAGTGGTCAACGAGGGAGGCGTCCTACTGCCACCAAAGAGGTGAAAAGTCATAGAAAAATTTAGCATATTAAGCAAGACAAGAGCAGTTCCCTCATTGGTTACACACTTCAATCTAGTTCCTTGAGTCATATGTTCTTGAGGAACTCCTTCGAAATACTTATATGTTGATTTCACAGTTTTGATATCGAATTTTCTACACTTAAATGGGGTACGCATTGCGAGAGGTCGCACTTGGTGCGATGGCAAGTGCCTTCGCCCATGAGCGGTAGGTCTCGGGTTCGAGACTTGGGAGCAGCCTCTCCATAAATGGGGGTAAGGCTAGCCGACATTCACCTCTCCCAGACCCTGCGTAAAGCGGGAGCCTTGTGCATTGGGTAAATGGGGTACGCATTGCATATTTATATATAGGTCTTAGGTCAGGGACAAATTTGAATCAACTTGTGGGTAAATGAATGAGATGTATAGTGAGAACTGAGGGCCCTCAGTAGAGCATGATCATGAGCACAGAGAAGACCTACAATTCTCTTAAAAACAACTGAGCACTAAACTATTGGATTCTTATCGAAGTTCTAATGCACAAAAAGAAGAAGAAAAGACAAAAAGAAGTATATAATCTTAACATGCAAGTTCAAAAGTTCGTACAAAAACTTTGGAACTTGTAATTCATGTTATCTTAAAATCTTTTTTAAATCAAATCATAGAATGCTAAAACAAGCAAGTTTCAGAAGGAAACTTAAAATTTTAAAATTTCCAATTTATCAGAATCCTGATACAAACTCCGCCTATGTAAGTTTATCTTACATTGGCGGTCCCAAGCCCGGGTAAAGGAGGAGGGGGAGGGCGTCAGGTAGTCGACAGCAGGCACTCCACAGTTACGTCGAATCCTTATGAAAATGAATTCAGAACGAAATCGCGCTAAAGCTAGGGCGTCACCCGTAAGTGGCGCGCTGTGTGGCCCGAGCACAGTGATAAGTGAGCAAGGGTCGCTGTATCTCCATAGGCACCCGGATGCAGTGTTAAATGAGCAAGGGGGCCATAGAAACTTCTTTTCGAACGACTCCACTCAAAGTTGTTTGGGAGCATATGCACCTATCAACTTTACATGGGACACACAAAAGAAGTACTTTTATTCCATTGGACGGGGGAGGGTGAAGAAGCTAGGACAGAAGGGTAGAGTTCAGGAGAGTAGAATGCGTTTAGGAACGTGGAATATAGGAACCTTAACGGGAAAATCTATGGAAGTAGTGGAAGTTATGGTGAGGAGAAGGATAAATATTATGTGCCTACAAGAAACTAAGTGGGTTGGTCTTAAGGCAAAGGATCTAGAAAACTCAGGGTTTAAACTTTGGTACTCGGGCACAAATAGAACGAGAAACGGTGTTGGCATCATCGTGGACAAGACCTTGACACAAGATGTTGTAGATGTCAAGAGGGTAGGAGATAGAATCATGGCAATCAAGATTGTAATAGGACAAGAACTTATCAATGTGATTAGTGCGTACGCACCTCAAGTAGGGTTGGATATGAGTTCGAAGGAGAAATTTTTGGGAAGACCTTGGAGACTTGGTGCAAGGAATTGCTCAGACGGAGAAGTTATTTATAGGAGGAGATTTAAATGGACGCGTGGGCAGGGAGACAGGCAACTATGGAGGTTTTCATGGTGGCCATGGTTTTGGGGAGAGAAACGAGGATGGGGAAGCTATCTTGGATTTTGCAATGGCATATGATCTCTTCTTAGCCAACACCTTCTTTAAGAAGAGAGAAGAACATGTGATCACCTACAAGAGTGGGTCGTCAAAAACACAAATAGATTTTCTTCTAATGAGGAAAGGGGATCGTATAACTTGTAAGGATTGCAAAGTTATACCAGGAGAGAGCGTGGCTAATCAACATCGCTTGTTGGTGATGGATGTACATATCAAAAGAGTGAGAAAAAAGAACAAAGACTTGGAAGTGCCCAAGGACTAGATGGTGGAATCTAAAAGAAGAAAAACAAGTCATTTTCAAAGAGAAAAGTAATCACCCAGTGTGTGGGATAGAGAGGGGAAAGCTAGCCAAATGTGGGATTCAATGGCTAGTTGTATCCGAAAAAGTAGCAAAAAGAGGTATTAGGAGAGTCCAAGGGCTTTGCCACATACCAAAAGGAATCTTGGTGGTGGAATGAGGAGGTACAAACAAAGGTGAAGGCTAAGAAGGAATGTTGTAAAGCCTTATACAAGGATAGGACCGATGAAAATGGTGAAAGGTATAGAAAAGCGAAGCAAGAGGCGAAGAAAGCTGTGAGAGAAGCTAAGTTAGCGGCTTATGACGATATGTATAAGCGACTAGATACCAAAGAAGGAGAGTTGGATATCTATAAACTAGCTAGAGCAAGGGAAAAGAAGACAAGGGACCTAAACCAAGTGAGGTGCATCAAGGATGTGGATGGAAAGGTTCTTGCTACAGAGAACGCGGTTAAAGATAGATGGAGAGGTTATTTTCATAATCTTTTCAATGAAGGACATGAAAGGAGTGCTTCTTTAGGGGAGTTGAGTAACTCAGAAGAGTGTAGAAACTACTCTTTTTATCGTCGAATCCGGAAGGAAGAAGTGGTTGTAGCTTTGAAGAAGATGAAGCATAGAAAAGCAGTAGGCCCAGACGATATACCAATCGAAGTGTGGAAAGTTTTGGGAGAGATAGGTATAACATGGCTCACTGACCTTTTCAATAGGATTTTGAAAACGAAGAAGATGCCAAATGAGTGGCGAACGAGCACTTTGGTGCCTATCTACAAGAATAAGGGCGACGTACAAAATTGCATGAACTATAGGGGTATTAAGCTAATGAGTCATACAATGAAGCTTTGGGAGAGAGTCATTGAGCATAGATTGAGGCAAGAGACACGGGTTTTCGGACAACCAATTCGGGTTCATGCCAGGGCGCTCAACCATGGAGGCAATCTATCTCTTACGAAGATTGATGGAAAGATATAGAGATGGGAAAAAGGATTTACACATGGTCTTTATAGATTTGGAAAAAGCATATGATAGGGTCTCAAGAGACATTCTTTGGAGGATTTTAGAGAAGAAAGGAGTACGAGTAGCATATATCCAAGCTATA